TAAACAGCCACCCCCCCCTTAAATTTATATACATAGTATCATACTTGTAAAAGGACTGAATTGCTTACATGGCAAGATAAGATAAGATAAGATAAGATAAAACTAAAAAAAAGACTAATCCTAATCTTATAAAAGACTAGTCCTAATCTTATCATAAAGAACTAATCCTAATCATAACTTATTGCTGACATACAAACAGTGGGGACCACATTAGTGTTCTCTACACTCACAACCTCCATTAAAGCCTTCCCTGCATCTTTCCTCCCTTTTCCCCCTCTCAGAGCCTTCTACCATCTTTCAGGTTTACCTCCCTACATTGCCTTTACCTCCCCACCTACGAATGGCTTTCAAGGATACCATTCTAAAGCATATGCCTCACTTCAATAAAGCAATTCAAGTGACAGACTGACAGTATCACAGGTGAACATTTCAATTTCATGGTTAAATATAGTAATGACAAAATGCATAAAACCTGAGTGGATTAGAGAATATGAAGAATTCATAATGAAATTAAAGCTCAAAATAGGTTTACAAATGCAAGAATAATGGCCAAATTCAAAAATGGAAGCTTACATTAAACCCAGAACCTGTTGAAGATTTTCTATTTGTTTTCTGAATGTGGCTCCTGTATGACCTCAAGCCAAGAGATAAGGCTTCTTTATATCTTGGTAATATGTCTGCTTCATAGCTCTGAGCAGGAATCCCTGCTTCAGCTGATTTTTTGGAGTCTTCCCTTGCACAGCCAGACATTTCATCTTCCTCAGATATTTTCTGTAGCCAAGAAGATTGTGCTTTGAAGAAAAATAATATTCTGATTGATCCAAAAACCAAGAATATTTTGTGAATCTTATAAGTTGCAGAATACAGGCAATTGATTGTTTAGGATTACAATTTTCTACTTACATTTTCTTTAAACAGATTATATGAAAGATTTCTGAAAGAATTCAGAGTGTTCCTCATATCTTGCTCAACAATGTCAGTCTGTTCCAGAAGTTTATGCACTTCCACCGTAGTAGCATTTGCTCTACTCTCCACTTTTTCAGAAAATTCCTTCAACCACTTAAGAATCTAATGCAAGATATGTAGCAACCGAACATCAGAAGAAACTCTAAATAAGCATTGCAAAGCTCCACTCAAATAAGTTAATATTTTTAAGCTAATTACAGTTCATACAGTCCTTCACCGACCGAAAGCCGGTGAATAAATATTTTTTTTTTTGGCATGGTCTACCTTTTTCTCATATACAATTATCAAATGCCAATAAATTCATAACAGATAGAACTCAACTGTGCAAGTAAAGTCACTAATTTGGCAGCAGCAAAGACGCTATTTTCTGGCATCAAGAGATCGACATGTAAAATGACTAACCTCATTTTGCAGGCTGAGACGTTTTCTGATGGAGTTTTCCATTAAAGTTGGATCTTTCTCCCAAATTCCCTAAGTAAATTATATAAGGAATTTTAACTTTATATTTCTGAAGATTTGAAGAAAAAAGATGCAAGAAAACTGAAGTCAAAGGAGGAACAAAGCGAAAACGACTAAAAATATATTTGTACCTGTATGTAAAGAACAACTGGAGATGCTCTACTTCTTCGATCAATTTTCTTCCAGGCAACTTATTGAGAAACTAGGGTTTCATTATAACCAACGGTTTCACCGGTTTTTGGCGGGGACGTGTAAAATGCGGGAGCGCCCCAGTGGAGGAAGTAGGCGTTTTGGAATAGAGATAGAGAAATGCTAACAAACGGGCTGGTCAAACCCGTTTTTTGAATACGGGTCCCTGAACGCCGTTAATCTAATGCAAATGTAAGGCTCCATATGATGCACTAGTTATTAATCACTCCTTTCTGCAATTCAAAAGAAATGAAATGGTAAGTTTTTTTTTTTTTCTTGATTTCAATCTTAAGCCTAAAAAGGAAGACCATTCTAAAAAAAGGACTGAAGAAATTGTCTCAACCCGATCCCAATTCCGAACCCAATATGAAGTTATAGGGTTGGGTTATGGTTGACTTCAACCCACCCGATTTGCACCCTTCCATTGGTTTGTGAGATGGGAAGAGAAATATTTTCAAATATTCTTTCCTTTTCACGTTTGGTTTTTGGAGTGCCATGAGAAGTAGGGGTGAAAAACCAAAAAACTGAATCAAATCGATGAAATCAAACTGAAAATTTCAGTTAATTGAATTGTTTGGTTTTGATTAATTAATACAAAAATTTAATGGTTAATTGAACCGGTTGGTATATATTTATATATATATAATTGAATATATATTATTTATTATTTATATTATATGCATTTCTAATATTCTTATTATATATTTTATATATTTATTTATAATATATATTATAAATACCAAAAAACAAATAACCAACAAAATGAATTGGTCAAAAACTAAATCGGTCAACTGGTTAATCGATTTGCCTTAGTTTGATTTTGGTTCATAGTTTTCAAAAACCAGTGGTACTAGTTCAGTTTGGAAAATAGACCCATGGTTCGGTTAGTCAAACCGTAAGCACCCCTAATGGGAAGAAGTTGGAATTACAACTTTCAATTCTTGGGATGTGGAATTACATTATTTTGTGAAAAAAAAAAAAGTGGAAAGGGAATGTTGTACTTATCTATACTACTATTAAAAGTGTGAATGAGAATATAGAACTTTTGTTTGACTAACATACCCTAATTTTTGAATTTGAGCACTCTCTTGTTGTAAGGATAGCAATGTAATTTCAAAAACCATTTTTTCATTCAAATCTCTCTCATTTAAGTCTTATATTTAAGGTATTAATAACCATTAACATTCATTGAATCCTATTCTTGATTAGAATACCCCTATTTTTGCATTTGGTCCCTCTAATTGTGGGGGCACAAAATGTAATTTAAACTACTACATTTTTCCTTGTTCGATTCCCTTTAAGTCTTATATTTAAAGTATTAACCCGCATTCTTTCATTGGATCTTATATTAATTGATCATATTAATATTAAAAAATAAGTGTCACAAAGAATAATCACTTTTATAGATAATAGAAATAAAAATACAAATTTAAAACCAATCCAAAAATGGAGTTGTTTTTATGTTTGGTGGCGAGTCAACAATTTAACCTTTTGGTCAAATGTGTAAACCCTTTATGTCATAATTAAATAATAATAAAAAATAAAAAAAAATGAAAACATACAAAATTATAAAAGATACGAAATTATTGTAGAAAACATTTGAGCAAATATTATTTGCTATCATCGTCATAAAAAAATTATCATGTGCTTTAGTTTAACATAAAAATGGGATAAAACATGAAAACCTCCCTTGTGATTTCTGATAATCATAAAAACCTCCCCTGAGGTTTCACTTTAACAAAATTCTCCCCTATAGTTTTGAAAAAAAATGTAATTACCTCCTTTCATTCGTTGTCTTATACAGAAAACATTAGCCTAATGCATTAATTCGTAATGCTTAACATGACTATAAAGTTTGATTGCTTTGTAATGTAATTTCATTACCACTGGTGCAAAAGCATGGCAGTCCAAATGAGTGGAAATTCTAATTTATTTTTGTATCATGTAGTACCAACAAAGTAAAATAAAAAAATCCAAAGTAAAGAAAAACCCAAAGAAAAATAAATCAGATTTTGCATTCTTCTCATTTGCACTTTCTTGCATTTGCACTAGTGCAAACAAAATTGCAATACAAACAACCAAAGCTTAAGCCTTCGTATTTTCTTCTATTATTTTAATTTTTGCATCTAACTTCTATGGTCTTTTTAGCTTGTTTACTTGTCTAATAAAATTTGCATGGTTGATGCCTTTGGGTTGCTTCATTCATGGTATAAGCAATATATACAATAAGGCAAGCTTGATACTATTCACTAAAGTATACGTGTAATTATGTCTTCTAGTTTTGTTTTCCTTTTTTTATATATTTATACTTATGAAACTAAAGTTTAAGATTAATCTGATTGACATTTTGAATTTAATTTGTTTATACTAGTATAAGGGAATATGCTATGTATGTGTGTAAGTAAAGCGTAAAGATATATATCAATCAATGATCAAAGTATTGGTATCAGGTATTATATTGTACAACTTGGATATGGATGCGTTTCGGAAATGCATGGATACAGACGAAAGATATGAAAATACATGGATACGTTAGAAAAATACATACAAATTTCATAAATACATCAATTATAATAACTTTAAAGTCAAAATAACCACAATTAATATAATTAGATACATAGATATCATATAATTTTGTTAATAATCCATCAATCAAGAGTCTATAGCTCATACTATATAGATCTTTACAAATTAACACATGCATAAAATCATTATTATGTTATATTCTATTTAAGTCCAAGAAACAAAACATATGCAATTATTATATTTTAATTACTATATCAATTATTTTCTATTTTAATATTTTTACTTTTCAACATTAACAAAAAAGTCAACTAAATATTAAATTTTGAAATGTTTGATAAACAATATATTTATTTTTGTAAATAATAAATTTTATTAATAAAATATATAATCTTAACTTAAAATATTTCATATCTATATATTAAAAATTTTTAAATACATATCATGCACAAATTCATAATTTTTAATTAGTAAAATAGGTATTCCATTATTAACATTTTTATTTCAATAAATTTTTTAAAATAAAAAATCATTTTTTATATAAATTTAAATTAATGTATTTGATAGATTCAATATAATATTGTATGCTTGAATATTTTGTAAAAAAAATTTTATAAATAATAAATATGTTATTATCTAGTGTAAATTTAAATATCAATTAATAATTATAAATTATAAAATATTAATTGATATTTAAATTTACACTAGATAATAACATATTTATTATTTATAAAAATGTATGAATTTAATTGATAATATATATGTATATACATACATGTACAAATGTATGAATTTTAAATACTAAAATAATTACTCTATTAATAATATTTTTATTTGTATAAATTTATTGAGAGCAACCCTGGTGTAGGTGGGGTTCAATCCCAAGCCTCCACTACAACTAGTAGGAGGCCTTACCAACCATCCAGTTGGCACCTTACCAATTTAGGCCCGTTTGGTTCGCATGAATAAGGGTTTGGAATCGGAATCGGAATGGGCTATTCCAATTCCAACTGTTTGGTTGGGCGGAATTAGGATCCCATTCACATTCCTACTGGAATGGAATTCCCCCATTTGAGGGAATGGCCATTCCCTGTCCCTCCCTTGGGAATGAAATCTCATTCCTATTGATTCCAATTCCCATCCCCATTCCTATCTGAACCAAACAGACTATGGGAATAGGTCATTCCGATTCCAACTACAAACCAAACAGACCCTTAGTTTATTTTACTAATAACATGCAACATTATGATTTTAGGGTTCGCCTTGGTTTTCAGTTGGAATTGGAATCAAAATCTCTTGGAATCAGAATCAGAATGGTGCATTCCCATAGTCTGTTTGGTCCATTCAAGAATGAGGAATGGGATTGGGAATCAGTAGGAATGGGATTTCATTTCCAAGGGAATGACAGAGAATGACCATTCGCTCAAATGGGGGAATGCCATTCTAGTAGGAATGAGAATGGGATTTTGATTCCGCCCAACCAAACTGTTGGAATCGGAATAGCCCATTCTTATTTCGATTCCAGACCCCTATACTTAGAACAAATGTTGACCTAGGTATTTCTGAATCCGATTATAATTTGAATCCAATGGATAAAATTTTGACCATTAATTCATTAATGGTCAACAATATCCAAGTATAATTTGAATCCAATGGATAAAATTTGAATTGAATTGAAAAACTAACAGAACAAATGTTGACCTAGGTATTTCTGATTCTATCCAATCTATTTGCGGCCTAGCTTTGAGCTATTTCCCCTCTCCCCTCCCCCCTACAAAATAAAAGAAAAAACTTCACTTTACCCCATGTCACAAATTTTTATTTATTTACTTTATTTTTCAAAATCTCCACTTATGATATAATACTCCCCTTGTATTGTGTCAAATTCCACTATACCACTATTCTCAATTATACAAACTAATAAAAATTCGTGAGATGGGAGAATCTGAAAATTAGCCTATCCCTCCTGTTATTACAAGTCCTCCTCCTTCCTGATTCTTTTAATGGCTGGTTTCACCTTTGGCCATCTTCGAACCAGATGTTAAGAAACTGATTACTTTCTAATTGCTTTATATGCATAAGTGTATTCTTTTGTTGTCACAGCCCATACATATAGCTCTTCAGTCATGGTCTCAAGGGTGCCTTCTTATATTGTTATTGCTGTTGCTATCATTATTTTCGTTATCAGTACTAGTGGATGTGTCTTCTAAGCAATTGCAAAAGTAGTCCTCTAAGATGCAACACCTTTAAAACTGCTCTAAGACATTCAAATGGAGCCAATCAAAGTTCACCTTGATGGGGGAGGGGAGAGGGCCTACTTGAAAAGCTATATATCTCTTACTCCCACCCAGCTGATGAAAAAGACAGAGAGTTGAAGCTATTTCCAATGTTTATTGATAACTTTTCTGCAAAGAATAAGTTTCAAGAACAAATCCTGAACCTTTGTAGACCACCAACTTCATCATCTGAATTGCATAGTTTCCTTTGGCAGATAAACTAAGATCAATTGACACCTCAACTATAAATTTGAGAAAGACAAGAAGTACCCAAGA